CTCGGGTTCGCAAACGTTATTTTTCTGCGGAGACAAGCGACAGCCGGAAATACGTCTGCGTTCGCAGGCTAACCTCTTAGGGGTTGTTTCAGTTCAAAATTTTCGACGAACATCCCCGTCCTTTTTGTATGGGAGCCCCCCCGCCCCCCCCCGCCCCCCCCGGGACAACAGGACAGGTAACAGGCTTAAAAACTGGGTAACAACTGGCTAAGGAGCTTAATGGTACCTAATAAAGCAACGTGAACGTGGTAGAAAAAATACCTTCCTCTGGGCTTCCTTGTCTCGTAGATTTGATATTTGTAATCATATTGTAATTTACTTTCTCAAATATGGCGGACAATGCACAGACTTTGAAAAGAAAAACATAGGGTTTAGGCTGTTCTCTATACTATAGAATGGTTTTCAACTGAGTGTCGGCAAGCAAAACCAAGGTAATCATTTGAACAGATACACACATTACAGTGAACCAATCAAAACTTGAAGCAAATACACATATCCGAAAAAGCGCAGGGAAACGTGTGTGAGCTAGACACGGTTTGTTTCGGTTTCACTTCTGATTGGATAAGGAAGTGGCGGGAGTTTTGTGAACCAATCAAATAGCATAATAAAACCAAAGCAAATGCGAATCACTTTCGACGCTCAAGAGAAGACCGCTCCTTTGTCCCCATGCAGTCACATCACAATTCAGATAGCTCATATAATTACGTAACTAAAATTAACCAACAATTCTTGTCGTTTGAACAATAAAGTACAGACAGGTGGCAACATTTTTGGCAGCTCATTTGTTTATCATAGCTGGTACAGCAGTTAACCCTCTCCTGCCATTGTGTAAGGTGTCTATTTTTATCCAATTCTTCGCCGTTTCCAAGGATGCCTTGGTGACGTATTGACACTTGTATCTCAATATGCAAATCTTCACTCGTCAATAGTTATATTTATGGAAATCGTGCTCACTCGACGAATCCGTCGCAACTACTCAAGGATCTAAATGCCTCTAAAGCTGCTTTAATATGTAATCTCCGTCTACTATCTTGCTTTATTCCCTTATTTTGACGGTTCCCTGCAAGTTCATAATAGAACTGCGAGTATTTTTAAATATAAATTGTGAATAAAAATTATTGATGTTCATGTGGTATAAAATGCCCTTGATCCTCAATATCGTCCACACACTACAGTTACCACCACGCACCAAACTGCGTTTCTTTATTGAGTTTTTTCTTTATATCAGCAAAGATATTAAGTTTGGGCCATTTTCGAGGCCATTTCACTTTGCTGGAACTCGTCGACAGCCCGAAGTATTTCGTCCATTTCCTTCTCCAAATTATCTGCCAGATCTCTTAGTTTCTTCACTGCCTCCGGCTCGCTTTCTTTCTTTCCTTTTCGAACCGAATCGATTTCCGTCAATGACTTCACCATTGTATAAATGTCAAGAGGGAGAAGCACTACACTAACTGCGAATATTCCAATCCGTGCAGTGTTACCCGCTATGCCAATGGATCTGAGTAATCCGTCAGCTCCCTCGCTTGCTACTGTCGAAGCAACACTAACGCCGGTTAAATGCATCCCGTTGCTCACATCAACGAGGTTTTTAACTAGCAAAGCCACGCTTAAATTACACGCGAGCTGATTTTTCATACTGCCCAATGATTTCTTGGACACTTGGCGATAAAGATCGTCCAGGAGTTCTTGAACAGGTTCCTGAGCTTTGCGATCGGCGTCGATAATTTCCTGTGCAGCTGCAAGCTTTGTTTTGAAAATTTTCGTCTGTACGATGCTAGAACCAGCAACAGTCGCGCCTCCTCCGGCGCAGATGGCTCCTCCAACGGCTGAGAGAATGAGTGAAGTCCCTAAAGTGACAGGAGCGAGACCAAAACCAGTCGCAAGCATAACGAATCCGCCGATAGAAGCCGACGAACCCGACACCTTGGCGATATGGACATTCTTGTAATGCTCCATGAGCTCGTCTGCCAAGCTTCGCAGCGTTTCAACGGTTTCTCGGCGTTTAACCGACCACTGTTGTATACTAGATGTCAGCTCTGTCGAGCAAATGACAAGATCGTCTGGGTTCTCTTCCTTCAGTGCCATACTGGAACGTTGCAACCGCTATGTTGCTTTGTTTTGATAGCGTCTAATTTTGCATCTAGTACTTCCTCTTAGAGATGACCATGCAGTCCCAACCTCGATTCGATGTGAACAAATTTGTAATCGTGGCTTCCTACGCAGACGCTCTTTGGGCTCGTCACGCAATCTTCCTTCGTTGGGGAGGAAGATTGCGTGACGAGCCCAAAGAATGTCTGCTTAGGGGGCTGCTCCATAGGTGACCACAAGCTGTGAGTCAGCTTGGTACACGAGCCATAATTGGGGACGATTATGGCTCCTGCTTGGTAAAAATATTGAATGAGAATTGTGATGTTGCGTAATATCAAAAGAAGATCAAGGTAGTTATATGCTTAACTTGATCTTTTTCGGTAATTGTTGGTTTTCAGTGTCACGCAATTCAAAATAGATCAAAATAAAAATCAAAACCGGTCAATAGATAAAGTCCAGAATCTGGGAAATGAAAGAAGG